TTTTCCTCCAAATTTGTAATTAGGACACAAACATACAAGCAATAAATAACAGCTTTTAAAAAGAAGTCCATCTCTTCTCACCAACCCAACACAGCCATTTTCACCATGCTGTGCTCTTTGTCTCCATGGGTGTTCAGAAAACCACAGCCTTGAAGCAGGAAAGAGCCAGGGAGGGGGCTTAGCCCTGCAGCTTTCAAACTGCATGCGCTCCTCAGGGCTCAAGCGCCAGGGCTTCCCACAAGCTGTCATTTTCTGCCAAACCTCAAATATCTAAAGTATCCCAGATATCCATTCATTTATACATTCATCAGACAACAATATTTACTGAGCACTTACTGTATTCCAAGCACTGTTCTAGGTGAACAAAATAAACAAAACAAATAAAATCTCTGCTCCCAGGGAGTTTGCTTTGGGGTGAGGGGAGAAACAGACAATAATCCATAAATAGAATAAATAAGTAAATTCTGGAGTGTGTACCAGAGCAAGATAAGCCTGATGGAGAGTGTCCTGGGGTGGAGAGTGGGCTGCCACTTTTTTTAAAGGGTCAGAGAGATGATATTGGGGAAAAGCCCTGCAGGAGGTGATGGGCAAGCCATGTGGATGAGAGAAGAGCCTTTGGGCAGAAGGGACAGCAGGGCACAGGCCCTGAGTCAGGAGTGTACCCCGTCCTGATTCTCCAGGAGCACAGGGAGACCAGCGACAAACACCACAATATGGACAGGCAGTGTAGAGCCCTACTGCCATCGTTGGAACTCCAAGTGAAATAGGGAGTTGGGCATTTGAGCAGCGGAGTGACATGATCCAACTTATGTTTTATGGGGCTCACTCTCCTGTGTTGAGAATGGAGATGGGAGGCCAGGGGCAAACAGGAAGACCAGCATGTCGGTCTTATCTATTCTATAACGAAATAAATAGATACACGGCTTTACATAGCTTTATATAGCTGTTCTCCTCCTACTGCCAAAAAGAAAAGAAAAAATTTCAAAATCATTCCTGCACTCCGCTCCTGAAATCAGAGGCTCTGTAATGACTGAGCATCTGCTCTGACCCGGAGTAACCATGGAAAACAGCAAAGCACCAGGGAACGCTGCCAGGAAGGCATGCAGACAGAGTTCAGGAGGAGGGTGGAGTTTCTTGGAGTTCCTGTGGGGCAGGCCAGGGAGCAGCTGTGTCAGCTGGGCACAGAACCCTACCACGACACACTGGAGAACGTCAAGGGGCTCCGGCCTCCCTTCTCTCACTCAGGATTTCTGAATCATGCCATGCCCAAGTCCTGTGAAAGCCAAAGAGAGGTAAAGAGAGCTAAGAAGATCCTTCAATAGCTGCATCTCAGCACCAGCAGTGGCATAGCCTTGGATGCATAATAAAAGTGTGGCCAGCAGAGGCAAAGAGCAGTGCCCAACTTAAATCAGCTGTTCAGGCCTTGTCCATGGGGAGCCCATCAGGATTGACTGAGGAGGATCAGCCTGCTTGAAAAGATAGGAAAACAACCCACAAGAGCCCAGGCAGACACAAACACAAAACTGGGAGGATAGACAGGCAGCCCTAAGGACAGTCAGTGCAGGACGGGGGAAGGTGCCAGCGCCCTCCTGTCTTTGGACAAATCCAGGAAGTCTTCCTAAAAGCAGAGGATTTTAGTACAGTAGAAAAAGCAGAAGGAAAGGGAGGAAGTGGGCCTCTGGGATGGGGGAGAGCCAGCTGCCCCAAGGAGCATCCCAGCTCAGGCAAAAAGCACCGCCTGAAGGTAGGGCTGAGGTGGGAGCAGGGGGGCCTCTGAGAAAACCCCAGAATCTGTACTCTGGAGTGGGGCAGATCACAAGGGGTCTCAGATGTTGCCTGGGGCTCCAGGGTAGGGTAAAGAACTTCTCTCCCCAAGTAGTTCTTGAAGGTTTTCTGAAAAAAGTAGCCTCTTGGGAGCACTTTACGGCTGGGTTGTGGACTCTTGGGATTTCCGGAACTAGATGGGGCCTTCCAAAGGCGCAGGGAACAAGAGGGGACAGGGCTAAGGGAGGTGATGAGTGACAGCCCTTAGGACAAAAGGGTGTGGAAGGGGATAATTGGGGTTACCTGGAGAGCCCCAGAGAAGGCATTTGTGAGACAGAGGGAGGAGAAATCACAGCCTCCCTCTAATGAGCTCACAAAGGCTTCCTGGAAGAGGCAGCTGTTCTCAGACATTCCAAGCCAAGGTGTGACAGGGAGAAGGTTGATGGAAGGGAGCGGAGTGCGACGGGGCACAGGCGAACAAGGGCACAGCGAATGAGGATGAGACACTAAAAGGAGATGGGGCTTCCAGCCCTGCAAAGATCCTGACTCTCAGGGCAAAGACTTGGGTTCCAGTGAGCAGGGTGTTTGGGTGATGGCTAGAGAGGCTACATGTTCTCTGAGTCCCCCCTGGGTAGAACCATAAGCAAAGGCCCAGGTCCTTCCAGGACAGCTGTGCCAGATCCACCTGCCCTGACTTGCTCACTGGCCCTGGACCACCTGGGACCAGACCAGTGAGGAATCAGCTCCTCTCGAGGCTTTGCCCTCAGCCCAGCTCCTCCAATCTGAAGCTCCACCTGGACAGCAACTTGGGCAGCCCCCAAGCCCTGGGCTCAGCATTGCCATCAGCAGTGATGCAAGCTTCACCCAGCACGCATGAGCAGGGTGGGCAGGGTGGGCCATTGCAGGGGCTTGCACCTTTGGGCTGAATAGACCTGCTGGTCCTGGAGAGGTATCTCAGTTCTGGAAACAAATGGGCTACCCCCAGTCTCCTGAATCCCCTGGCCCCACCTTCCCTTCCCAATTTAGGGTGAGGGTTAGATGGGGTGTGTGTTGGGTCCAGAAGAAAGCAATTGAAACAGGAGCCTCCCTCCAGGACAAAACCTCCTGCCCCCAAGGAGGAACAGAAATGGCTCTGGTCCCATCATCTTTAACAACCTGGAGGAGGGCAGAGGCTTAAGGGAGTTGTGGAGAGAGGGAGGTATTTATGGACTTTCAGGCCCCTCCACCTCCCACACTGCTCGGGACTCCCTCTTGGCCCACACCCCACCAGCTCCAGGTCTACACAGCAGCCAGTCAGTGAACTCACTGTCCAAATTTATAGCCCACAGGTTATCCCAAGTTTGAGTTCTCCAATCCTTTTGACATCCCTGGTCCCCGGCAACAGGCCCCGCACTGAGTAGCGGGGGCTGGGGAATCGTCATCCCCTGCAGTCTCCCACAGAGCCTCCTCTCTGTCCCCAGACTCCACCCAGAATTGCTATACAAGTGAAATCAGACTAAAGGAAACATTAAAAGCAAACTTGAAAGGGTAAAGGAGTCATAAACACACAGAGGAGGTGAAGACCATGGCAGGGCAAGGAGCAGGACCTCTCTACTGGGCAAGGCAGGTGGGAATGTTTCTCATGGGAAGCAATAGGCCCTTTCTGTTATCCAGAGCCTTCCCATCCCAACCGCACATTCTCATGTATCATGCACTTCACCCTTGAAACAGCCCCAGAATTTAAGGATGAATCCCACATTACATTTAAGGAAACAGGCTCAGAGAGGTTAAGAACTTCCCCAAAGCCATACTGCTAGTAAGGATCCAAACTGGACCTTGAACCAGGTCTTCCAGCTTTGATTCCATTGCCGGGTTGCCAAATCCAGATGCTTTTCCATGGATAATTATGACCTGGATATGTTCTAGGGGCAGCTGGTGAGACCACCTGATCTTCCCCCACCAACTGTCAAGCTCTCTCTACCCTGCCCTGAAGAACAATGTGGAATGTAGAGGTGAGATGGGAGTCGATCAGCCTGATCCTGGGTGAAGGTCCTGGGAGAGGTCGGCTGGCTGTGGAGATGAGGGCAGATGCAGGACAGAGTGTAGGGCATTTCATGAAGGACTTATGGGAACAGCAGCACAGTGGCAGAGTTTGGTTACGGAAGGCTTCCTGGAGGAATCACCCTCTGAGGAAGCTCATTGGCTCTTCTTCCTTAAGTTCCTGACACTTGGGTATCTGGCTAACCTCCCTGGGGGCAGACCAACATCCCCAAGCTTCGTACTCCATAAGCATTAAAAGAATAGCACTCATTATCCTAATAAGTGGCCCAAGGACACGCAGGGAAGCAGAAACCAGAAGGATGGGGCTCCCAGAACCCTGGGAGCCAGAACTCATGGCAACCTAAGACAAGAATAAGCCACCATCCCACTTCCAGCTTTGTGCAATGCAGTCTCCCCTAGGGATGACAATTCTGGAGCTGGCCAACAGAAGGAACACCTCCTGCAGCTGGTGGTCTGGGAAGGGAGACTCACATGACCTTTTTCTACTTAAAGAGCAAAGGAAAGGTGACCACAGCAAATTTATAGCCCCCAGGTTATCCCAAGGTTGAGTTCTCCAATCCTGTTGGCCAAATGGAAGAAAGTATCTAGAGGGAGTCTCCCCATAATCTACAAGTGGCCATTATTGTGGCTACTGAGAGTTATGTGGTTTGCACTTTTGCTGGGTGAGAAATGAAAGCTCTGGACCAGCGCCTCTGGGCTGGAATCCAGACGGTTCCAAGAGACCATCTGCCCCAGCCCTCCATCCTGGCATGGGCATGTTCAGAATGACCGCTCTGCTCCTGAACCTTCCAAGCAATGCTGCCTGGATAGGGTGGGATTCACCTGACCTATTGGCCCCTGAAATGCAATGATTTACTTGAGAATGTGTCCTCTGTGGAACCAGGCAGAAGGATGCAATGGCCGCCCCCCAGTCTCATCTAACCTAGGACCCTACAGCCTCTCCCTTGAGACAATGGCCCCTGCCCGTATCCCAAACCCGGCCACCCCCAGGCTGTTGCGCAGTTCAAATCCGTCTCCGAGTGTGGGTTGAGGCCATCTCACAGACAGACTGTGAGAAAATTAATTACTTAATGTATGTAAACGAGCTTTGAAGATGAAAAGTGCAAACGCAGTATCCTTAATAACATCTTCAAGACTTCACGGAGCCCGAGTCACTGCTGAGCTCACCTTGAAGATGAGTCCGTGGGGAGTTGCTGGCAAACTCCCCAAGCCCATAAACAACATAAAATGGCTTTTCACTCCTTTTATGCAGCCAACCCCAGCTCTCCCCACCAATAAAAGGACCAGGGAGGATCAGAGAGACCAGAAGGATCCTGAGCCTCGCAATCTGCCGCCCGCACCGCCCGCCGCTGTCTCTCAGACTCTGCTCAGCCGCACACCATGTCGTGCCGCTCCTACAGGATCAGCTCAGGATGCGGGGTCACCAGGAACTTCAGCTCCTGCTCAGCTGTGGCCCCCAAAACCGGCAACCGCTGCTGCATCAGCGCCCCCACCTACCGAGGGGTGTCCTGCTACCGGGGGCTGACGGGCTTCGGCAGCCGCAGCCTCTGCAACCTGGGCTCCTGCGGGCCCCGCATAGCCGTGGGGGGCTTCCGCGCCGGCTCCTGCGGACGCAGCTTCGGCTACCGCTCCGGGGGCGTGTGTGGGCCCAGCCCCCCCTGCATCACCACCGTGTCGGTCAACGAGAGCCTCCTCACGCCCCTCAACCTGGAGATCGACCCCAACGCGCAGTGCGTGAAGCAGGAGGAGAAGGAGCAGATCAAGAGCCTCAACAGCAGGTTCGCGGCCTTCATCGACAAGGTGGGTAAGGCCTGAGACAGCCCAGAGAAGCCCCCAGCCCTGCTCTCCCTCGGGGAGGTTCCAATCTGCTGAGGAGACAGGATGGCTGCGGGTTTAAGGCAGGAGAGGGAATGACCTACAGACCCACACAGGTGAAAGGGTCAGTTTCCATCATTTAACTACCGCAGCATTTAATGAGGTCCGGGTGTGGTCTAGACATTGAGCCAGTGGTCCAAAGTGTGTGTGTATGTGTGTGTGGCATGTGAGTGTGTGTATGTGTGTGTGTGCATGTGACTGTATGTATGTGTGTGTGTGCATGTGCATGTGTGTAGCGGTATGTGTGCGTGTATTTGTTAGTATGTGTGTGAAAGTATGTGTATATGTGTGTATGTGTGTGTGCATGTGTGTGTACGTGTGTGTGCATGTGTATGTGTGTAGCAGTATGTGTGCGTGTATGTGTGTTAATGTGTGTGAAAGTGTGTGTATATGTGTGTACGTTTGTGTGCATGTGTATGTGTGTAGCAGTATGTGTGCGTGTATGTGTGTTAGTGTGTGTGTACATGTGTGTGAGTATATGTGTGTGTGTGCATGTGAGTGTATTTGTGTGAGCATGTGTGTCTTTCTTGAGCCAAGACGACACAGAACTATCAGAACTGTGTCTGAAAAGTTGGACTGGGCAGCAGGTACTGGAAGAGTGGGAGATAATGGGGAGACCAAAAGACCTTGTGTCTCCTAGCCAGGCAGCGTGTGAAGGGGCTGGGAATGCCCAGAGCCACACTGCCTCCCCCAAGCCCTCGCTGCACCACTCAGCGGTGTGAGACACCAGGCAGTTTCCTCGGCTGGAGAACAGGACCTGCCTCATCCACTTGTGAGGGTTAATGAGTCCACGCATGAAACATGATGGCAAATAGTAAGCCCTCAGTACATGTCGGCTGTTATTATCATTACTTTCCAAGGACAGTGGTGGGTGAAGAGGTGTGACAGTTAGCCAGTCCAGGCTTGGCAGCCCCTTCAGGAGGGAGGGCTAGAATGCAGACAGACAGGTGGCCAGGCTGGCAGGAGGAGACCTCCTAATGTACCCAGAGCATGGAGAACGCTGCATAGCTGTGAGGCTGCCTCCCAAGAAAGTTTTGTGAGGGGAGGCTGGGAGCCTCCTTCACAGGCTCCTCCTGTGTCCACAGGCCTCTAGCAGAGCAGAAGGACCAGGCTTGGGGGCCTAGGATCAGGGTTTAGGGAGCAGAAGCAGTGACCTTCCTGTTTTCACTTTTTCTTCAGTGATCCGAGTTCATCTTCACAGTGAGCAGTTGGGATGGGTATCAGCCTCTCCACTTTTCAGACAGCAGCCTGGGGGTGAGGGGGTGTATATGAGCAGCTCAGACATGCTGTAGGGGCAGGCAGAGCATGCCTATCTTGTGGCAAGACTATCGCTCACCATGAGCTGGGCATTTCACACCTTGAGGTCTCAATTTCCCCATGTGTAACATGGGGTAAAGTCTACGTCCCACAGCGCTGTGGTAATTGGATGGAATGTAGAGATAGATGATATGGACATAGACACAGACATTAGACACGAATGTGTGTATCTTAGCACCGGCCTTGGCACTACGTAGTAAATATTTAATAAGTGTTTGTTGCATAAATGAGTAAGTGAAGGACAACTGGTAATTATAATAATAGTTAAATAGACTGAGCATTTACTGCATGTCAGAGACTGTTCCAAGCACTTGATATGCATTAACTTGTTCAATTTTCACAACAGTGCTAAGATAGGCAGTATTCTCCTCTCCATTTTGGAGGGGAGAAAACTGAGCCCCAGGAGGTGAAACAATTTGCCCTTTAAAGTATCAAAGCCGGGGCTTGAAGCAGACCTTTGGTTAGCCAGGTTGCCTTCCTTCACACCCACAACTGCCTCCCTGGGGATCTGGGAATGGGTCCCTTGAGCTGCAGACACTCAGCTTTATGGCTCAGCCCATTCAGCCAGCACCCAAGGGCAGAGAGAGCTGTGGGGGACCAGGCACCTCCCCCCAGGCTTCCTCTGACCCTCTTCTCTCCGGAACGGCAGGTGCGCTTCCTGGAGCAACAGAACAAGCTGCTGGAGACCAAGTGGCAGTTCTACCAGAACCAGCGCTGCTGCGAGAGCAACCTAGAGCCGCTGTTCAGTGGCTACATTGAGACTCTGCGGCGGGAGGCTGAGTGCGTGGAGGCCGACAGTGGAAGGCTGGCCTCAGAGCTCAACCACGTGCAGGAGGTGCTGGAGGGCTTCAAGAAGAAGTGAGTGCAGCAAGCTGGGGGGACTCAGGGGAAATTCAGAGAGAAGGCTAGGAGGCTCTGCCCATAGCCCTCTTCTTTCAGATTCCTCTAGCAGGCTGCCTGGAACCCAGAGCAGGGATCCAGTGGGGACTAGATTTCTTCAGATTCCTGGGATCCACCTCTAAAACTCTAGAGCTACTTCTAGGGGAGTGAGGAGAGGCAATCCAGTGGAATTCTAGCACTCTCTATGTCCCCTGCCCTTCACAGCTTACCTTTATGACATGGGCTCTGTGATCTCCCTGCCAATGGGACCAGCTCTTTGAGATCTAGGATGCCCAGATGATTTTAGACTTGGGGGAAGGAATGTGCATTCCCAACCCCATCTCAGGCAAAAGGACTGCGGTGGAATGAAGCCAGGCTGGGACAAGGGCTAGCCGTGAATAATACACAAAATAGATCCTGGAGGGGCCAAGATAACACCTGAAGGGGATTCATCCCTTTTCAATCCCTGGAAGAGCTTGCCCAGGAGTTGGGATGGTATTCAAGTCCCGTTTCTCAGCTCCAGCCCTTCTCTCTCCCACACCCAGGTATGAAGAGGAGGTGGCCCTGAGAGCCACGGCAGAGAACGAGTTTGTGGTTCTAAAGAAGGTGAGGAACTGGTCATGGGGCAAGGAGGAGGGGCCCATCGGTGCACACTCCAGCGAGGGGCAGGGTCACCACGCTGACCGGAGGCACCTTCCTTTGGTCTTCTCTCACATGCGCGTCCCCTCCTCTCTGTCCCACTGCCAGGATGTGGACTGCGCCTACCTGCGGAAATCAGACCTGGAGGCCAATGTGGAGGCCCTGGTGGAGGAGTCTAGCTTCCTAAGGCGCCTCTATGAAGAGGTGAGGGGGCACCTGCCACCCAGCCAGGACAGGTGGAGGGTTGTTTTGGAGACGGGAGAGCAGCGGGGCAAGGGTGCATGTGTGTGCCTGTTTGCCAATGTGCAATGTAAGTGTGAAAAGAGCTTACACACACATGCCAGGGGCCCACAATACAGAGGCCACATCCACATTCATGTGTGTGAGGAGCATGGAGTGTTCATGTTCTTGGGCTGCTCAGAGTCTGTGACCTCTGCATGTTGGTGTGCTGCCTGTGTGCTGCGTGTGTGAGTGCCAGACTAGACATGGGCACGAGAGTGTGCATGTGTGGTGGGGGGCCAGGATGGCTTCGCACATAGGGCATGGTCCTCATTAATGGACTAATCATTCATCCTGGCATCCAAACCCCAGCTCCCCTGGTGGGTGACTTTGGATCAGAACTTTTCACCCTCTGGGCCTCAGTTTTCCCACTTCTAAGGCAGACACACTGTTCCCAGGTGGCCTCTACAGCGCCTTTGTTGTTTGTAAGGAGCCTGTGTATGTGGGAAGGTGGTGGGAGCAGGAGTCATGTAAGCTTCATGGCCAGTGCCCCTCTAGGGAGTGGACATTGCTCCCTGGGGTGGCACAGCTCAGGGACCAGAAGCAAATGCACTGGCTGTCGGCCCCACAGGAGATCCGTGTTCTCCAAGCTCACATCTCAGACACCTCAGTCATAGTTAAGATGGACAACAGCCGGGACCTGAACATGGACTGCATCGTCGCTGAGATCAAGGCTCAGTATGACGATGTTGCCAGCCGCAGCCGGGCTGAGGCTGAGTCCTGGTACCGCAGCAAGGTGAGTGGCACAGGACACCTGCCTACTAGACAAAGCAGTGGGAGGGATGTGAGGTATCTATTAAATAGACTTCCTTTTCTGGGGATGCTGGTCCCTAGGGACGAGAAGAGAAGGGCTGTCTCTCTGAGGCTGGGGTGGCAGGGCAGGACTGCCACATGTGGTTGCACAGGCTGAGCACTGCACAATCATCCGTGGTGTCCTGAATGGATGGGAGGTCCCGCCCTGAGCCTCCTGAGCATCTCTCCTTCCCCAGTGCGAGGAGATGAAGGCCACGGTGATCAGGCACGGGGAGACACTGCGCCGCACCAAGGAGGAGATCAACGAGCTGAACCGCATGATCCAGAGGCTGACGGCCGAGATTGAGAATGCCAAGTGCCAGGTGGGGTCTGTGGAGGATTCAAATACCCAGCACAGGCAGGCTACAGCACCTGGTCCTAATCAGGCTTCATGGTGTGCCCATGAGGAAGCAGGGACCCAGAGGGAGGGCAGGAGCTCTATCATGTCTCACAGCACTCAGGCCATGTCACTGACTTCCAAAGGAAGACCCAGCCCCTTCCTTGGCCACCCTGTGACCACCATCAAGGAGAGATGGTAAAAAGCCCACCCATCTCCTCCCTCCTGTTCACAGCCCTATTAGCTACCTGGCCATGGGCCAATCTTCTCTCTAGGACCCTCCTCTCCCTGCCCTAGCTCCATCAGCTTGGGTGAGCCAAGCCGTGCCTTCTCTCTCTCATCCTGACCCTCACATCTCCACCCCAATAGCGTGCCAAGCTGGAAGCCGCTGTGGCCGAGGCAGAGCAGCAGGGTGAGGCGGCCCTCGCCGATGCCCGCTGCAAGCTGGCCGAGCTGGAGGCCGCCCTGCAGAAGGCCAAGCAGGACATGGCCTGCCTGCTCAAGGAGTACCAGGAGGTGATGAACTCCAAGCTGGGCCTGGACATCGAGATCGCCACCTACAGGCGCCTGCTGGAGGGCGAGGAGCACAGGTGGGGCTGAGAGGACTTTGTGGTGTTTCGAGGTGGAGGCTGTGGTTCTCCAGGAGTGAATTTCCTTGAGCTGGGTGTGAGCTACAACTCTGACCACTGTTAGTACAACAGCTTCAATAATGATGATAACTTTGAATGCTTCTGCGCTAGACCTGTGCTAAGTGCTTCTTCTATAATCCTCGAAATCCAATCAGATAAGTGTGGTTTTTCCCATCTAAAGATAAAGAAGTAGGCTCAGAATTCAGTGCCTTTATCATAGCTACACAGTTAATAAGCAGAAAAGCTGGGACCTGCACCCAAGTCTCATGCCAAATCCATTCTTGTTGAATAGCTTCCTCCTGAAGCTGCTGCGTGGCCTGCCACTCAGGCCTGTGTGTTATGATGATGATGTGCTTCTATATGCATTTAGCTCTTCACCACCCACAAAGCCCTTTCACATTCTGGTGCATCAGATTCAACTCTCCTTCCTGTGAGCTTGATTGGCAGCATCCAAGGTAGGCCACCATCACTCAAACTAGGGACACTATGTGTGTTCATAATCTCACTCACTGCTGCTGAAAATCAGGAGGCCTTGTCTTCAGTTAGAACCATCAAAGAAAGCAAGCATTTAGTGCGGATTTCAGGGAGCCCTTCCTGCCTCTCAGGGGTAGACTGCACACAGGATGACCCTCTCTTTCCCAAGCAACCATTGGACTCAAGGAATCCAGCTCAGTGTCTGCAACTAACAGAGTTTTCCTTTTCCCTAGGCTGTGTGAAGGTGTGGGCTCCGTGAATGTCTGTGAGTATCTGCCTGAAATTCTCCTAGAAAAATGGCTTTTTTTGATGGAAAAACTGAACTCATTGGCCTAACCTATGGGGCCTCGAGTGCTCCCCCAACTGTTTCCCCCTTCCCTGGCTCCTCAGTGGGGCCATGCCAGGTGTTAGAGAAAGCAGAGCTCAGAGCTCGTCACTGGTTTGGGCAGTGAGCTGTCGGCCATGGACCTGCAGCCTGGCAGCTTTGACCCCCTGGGCCCAGGGCTTGTCACTTCCTTCCTGCCCCAGCCCCCTACATGGACTGTGCATCTGAGAAACAGGGCCTGCGGTGTTGACCACCAGCTCCTTGGAGAGGGAGGCAGCTTCTGCAATGCCAGTGTCCTGGGGCCTGTCATACGGTGGGTGAGACCGCAGCGAGCCGCTCACCCCTCCACGTCTCCTCTCTCCACAGGTGTCAGCAGCTCCCGTGGCGGAGTCTCCTGTGGGGGCCTCTCCTACAGCACTACCCCAGGGCGCCAGATCACTTCTGGCCCCTCGGCCATAGGGGGCAGCATCACGGTGATGGCCCCTGACTCCTGTGCCCCCTGCCAGCCTCGCTCCTCCAGCTTCAGCTGCGGGAGCAGCCGGTCGGTCCGCTTTGCGTAGTAGAATCTTGGAGCCAGGGCTTCCCGCCAAGCGCCTGCCTGCCTGCGTCACTGCACTGAATGGCATGTGAATGGAAAATGTGCGCTTGCTTCCAGAATCTTCCGGATGTTCCTACAGAGGGAAAGACCCTTGGGCTGCTCGCCTCCGCCTTCTCATGCTAGGGAGATGCGTCCTAGTTCTTCTCCTGGCAGCAGTTTACAGAGGTGTTCCCAGCCCTTCGCTTAACTCCAACTTAGCTCCAAAATACCTGTAGCCAATTTGTATTATTCCACAAGCTCTCAGGGACAAGACAGTCCCCCAGTGTGACGGGAGACTGGTTGGCATGGAAATTCCACTTCCTGGGTGGAGGCGCCAACCTAACCATCCAGCCAAGCCACCCACAACCCGAGAATCAGGGAGAAAGTCCCCCCCCCCAGCAGCCCCTCCTCCTGGCTGGGGAGAGGTCCCCCAGCAAGCACTTCCCGTTCACGTTTTGCTTCTCTCAGACTGCCTTCCTGCTTCTGGGCTAACCTGTCCCAGCCAGGCTCCCCATGTGGCCTCGCAGCCAAGAGGCCCATTACTGCAGGGCATCCTTTTGCCTACAGCCCCTGGTTAAGGGACTTTGGACAGGTTTGCTATTCAGTGAACCTTTGTACATTTCAAAGTAGACTCCATGGCTGCTCCAGATGCCCCCTTGCTGGGTGCAGGTGGGGACTGTCCAATGCAGAGATGCTGGGACAGAGAGCTAGGCCACTTCCTGGGTCTCCCTCTTATGACTATCTACGGGTGCACTGCCTTCTGCGTTGTCTCAATCTGTGTTTCAATAAATGCTGCTGCGATGCAAGGGTGTGTGATCTTGTAAACGACAACGTCTCCACGCCCTTCCTGCCCCGTCTGCAGCTGACCAATCCCAGACCAGCCCCATGCAGTGTTTCCAGTCACCCCCCCACCCCAGTTACTCTGCTGCTTCCTGTCCACTTCCACAGTCTGATTCCACTTGTTCCCCCTCAGTCTTCTCAGGCCTGGACCACAGCCCAGCTCCCCGGTGATGACCTCTTTCTCCCCCACCCACCCTGCACACTCCCAGCAGCCAGACTCCATCCCAAACCCACTGCTCTCACCACCTCCTGCCTGGCTCAAGTCACTTGCTCACATGTGTGAGCTTCTTATGCCAAATGCAGGCTCCCTTCATCACCTCCTTCCCCAGCTACTCCTCAGCCCTGTCTGACCCTCCACCCAGCACTCTTCCTCCCAGACATGGAATCCACCCCAAGGAGACAAGTCTACCCTCTGAGGCAGCCCAGAGCCACTCTCTCTCCTACATATCCCTGTGGACACACAGGCCATCCTACATCCCTCCTCCCATTTGCCTTTGCCCAGGGCCCTCCTCTGCTCCCCATGCCTACCACCCTCACCCCCACACCTCTACCCCTCCCCACCCCACCCCCATCACACAGTGTCTGGAACCCTGAGAATCTTCTGTCTCTGTGGATCTGGGCCAGGAATGTCAATGGGTGTGTCTGGAGCCTGGATCAAGCTGGAAGTTCCATGAGGGCAGGAAGTATCCCCTCCTGGCTCTGACCTTCCACTAAATCCCAGGATGGGCCTCCAAGAAATGCCAGGCCTGGGATGTGCTGGATGAACGCAGGCAGCTGGTGCAGCAGGAGGTAGAGACGTCCAGTCCTCTTGCCCTCAGCTCCAGCTCCCCATTAGCCATCACTGTCGTCAGGCAGGCGTCTACCAGCCCCCCTGCTGCCCTGTCTCCCTGCCTCTTTCCCTGAGAGGAGACACTAAGGCCTTGTGCATCCTCACTTCAGGCCCAAAGGCTGTAGCCTCACTGGAGGCTGCTGGCTGCTTCTGAGTGCTCAGCCTGCTGCTGTGACACCTGGCGGACCTCCTCCAGGTCTCTTGCCTGCCGCCTCTTTTCTCCCAGCTCTTTGGGCCCTGAGGGCCTGGTGACAATCACAATAGACCAACTTTCAATTCAGGGGACATCGTTCACCCATAGAAAATGTTAAATCCCAGAGGCTGAAACATCAGGAGATGGAAATTTGAGCCCCAATGCTCCCAAGGGTGAGTCCTTGGGCAGGAAGTGGCTTCCATGCTTTGTGCATCAGTCCGGGTTGTGAGATGAGTGGGTAGAGTCTTTCCAGGTCTGCTACCTCCTGCGGTTTTGAGATGCTACAGTGAGTCTAAGCTTGGGGAAAAAAGCTTGATATTACCATGGATCTGGGCTGAGCAAAACTAAAATACCAAACATGATACCCAAAAAATAATGGCGCCATGGATTGAAAAGTCAAACAGCCAGAACCTGGGAGATATGAATAAACTTTTTAATACATTTCCGTGCTTTGTGTGCAAAGACCATTCAACAGATTCAGCCGGCCAGGGGTGCCTTTTGCTTAGGAGGAGGAGGTAAGCCTCTGCCCAGCTTTCCTTGCAGCCAACAGCAAAAACCCCAGCAAGCTCTTCTGGCTCAAAGGATGCTGCGGCTCCCACAGCTCTCTCCTGATCAAAGAACTATTCCCCACAGAAGGCAAAGGGTACAGTCCGAGGGTAACTAGGTATGGACATTTTATTAGAAAGAAAAAATTCAAGTCAAGTGATTTGAAATTGAGAGATCGAAGAAAAGCCAGAAGTGCAAGAGGCCCAAACAGTAAAGTGGTCACGGGAGTGATCCCAGATCTCTGCCCTGGGCTCCCTCCTCCTTAGAAACATCACAAACCAAGCTAACGCCAGCATCAGAGAAAATCAGACCTGCTGTGTGTATTCAATTCTTACGTAAATATTCAGTGATAGCCTCCCCGACAAACACACAAAACTTCCAAAGAATTAGAAGCATGGCCGGTGGGGTGGCTCGTGTCTGTAATCCTAGAACTTTGGGAAGCCAAGGTGGGCAGATCACCTGAGGTCCGGAGTTCGAGACCAGCCTGACCAACATGTTGAAGCCCTGTCTCTAATAAAAATACAAACTTAGCTGGATGTGGTAGCACATCTGTAATCCCAGCTACTTGGGAGACTGAGGCAGGAGAATCGCTTGAACTGGGGAGGCAGAGGTTGCAGTGAGCTGTGATGGTGCCATTGCACTCCAGCCTGGGCAACAAGATTGAAACTCTGTCTCAAAAAAAAAAAAAGTATGGATGATAATCCTTTCAAAGAAACAGATACACTTGGGATTTCTCTTCTTTTCCTTTCTCCTGAGACCGCTAACACTCCTCCACCAATTCTCAACCCACTCTGCTTCAGGCCATTCTCACAAACACCTATGCCCAAGACAGTTCCTTCCCCCAGCCCATGTCTCTAACTGTCTGTTCCCTGCTTCAATCTTTGGGATCTCAGAAAATAGAACTTTGCATTATTACTCACCTTAGCCAAGCATAGTGAGGAACACAAATCAACCACATTATCCAGAAAATTACCAAGCGTGTTTTGTGCAGACACGGACATGACCATGTGGGAATTATTGTCCCCTTGTCTGGGTTATTCATACCTCTGCCTCTCTCTGGAAATACAGGCATTAGGAGGTGACTGTACTAAACGCTTTGCTCGTTGAAGATTAAAGCAACAAGGACATGGTCACTAAGCACCACTCTCTTTGGGTGTAGGGTCATGCCAGACAGAACAAGCAATGGGAGAGGCTTAATTTACACTGCCTCAGGCCACATTCCTTCCTCTCCCAACCCCCAACCTGTGTATGCCTGGAAATCCCTGCTTATTTCTGCTTTGTTCAAACACAAAGGGCTCCCCCATGTTGGCAGGGGAGCAGCCAGGGAGTGGAGTGAGGCAGAGACAGCCTCACTCCTTTTTAAGCTTGTGCATTAAAAATGAAGTAAGGCAGGTCGTGGTGGCTCACACCTGTAATCCCAGCACTTTGGGAGGCTGAGGCAGGTGGATTATGAGGTCAGGAGTTCGAGAGCAGCCTGGTCAAGATGGTGAAACCCCATCTCTACTAAAAATACAAAAATTAGCTGGTGCCTGTAATCCCAACTACTCAGGAGGCTGAGGCAGGAAAATCCCTTGAACCTGGGAGGTGGAGGTTGCAGTGAGCCACGATCGTGGCATTGCACTCTAGCCTGAGCAGGAGAGCAAGACTCCCTCTCAAAAGAAAAAGAAAAGAAAATACCCAAGGCACTCATAGGTAAATAGCCACCCTCCACCACCATCGGAAAGGAAACACAGACCCTTCCCCAGTCCACATTCCCATGCCCCAGGGCAGCAAATGCCCCCAACACCCTGTTTCCTCCTCAGAGACACCCTGGTGACCCTTTTAACCTAATTTTACGCTGCTCAAACTTGGTGGGATCGGGATCCGGACAGCGATGGGCAGGAACCTGCAAGACCTTTTCATTCAGCAGACAGAGACCAGGGGAGCACTGCCCTACTAAGACAGACCTTGGACTACCCAGGTCAAGTCACTGCCTGGCCACAGTGGCCCCTGGGACACAGCCTGAAGGCATCAGGAGGACTGCGTGGCCGGGGAGAACCGTTCAAAATTTCTTCTCTGTTAAGGCAGCGGTGCAGTCCTGGCCCTCTGGGTGTGAGAGACTCGGAATCGGAAGGCAAGTCACAGTCCTGGACAGCGGGACCTCCCCAGCCTCGGTGGTCCGCAGGCCCCCCGGGAGGGGACAGTTTACAGCGTTAACAAGGGGGCTGCAGGTCCTCCCTGCCGGTCCCCACTTTGGTTCCGTCTCCCGTGGAAGCCACCGTTGTCCCCTACCTCCCCACCCATGAGAGTCAGGGGCCGCACCCCTCCTACCCCCACCCTTGCTTGCCTTGCGGGTGGCCCCGTGCCCTGCACTGCGCCCCCCCCCCCCCCCCCCCCCCCCCCCCTTCGCGTCTGGCAGCCAGGCGCCCTGGGCGCATCTCCAGATGCTCCGCGCGCGGCTGCCCTCGTGGAGCCCCTGGGATCATGTCCGCAGGGGCCTTGGGTCCTTGGCTCACGCAGGGTTCCTGCCTCGGCGCCTCTGGCACTGGACCGGTGCCTGAATCTCCTGTCGTCCGCCGGGATCCCGTCGCCCCCACCGCTCTCAAACACGCCGGCCCTCCAGGCCTGGGCCCTGGCTGCCCTCCTTCGCCCCTACCCGAGAGTGCCCCGCATCCCACCCTTAGCACCCAACCCCAGTGGTAAGGGGCCTGGGGCCCAGGGCCGGAAGGGACACGGGGTGGGGAGCTGGGTGCCACCCGCCCACCGTTTTGGGGTTGTGGGCGGGGTGTTTGGGGGTTGTTGGCTGCTCAGGGCTGCCCAGTACATGCCTGTAGCACCGTGGCCGGGGTCAGCGCCCTCCTGTCCACAGTCTAGGTGCTTAGTGCGTCCTGGTGGCGCAGACGTTTTTAAAAGACCCTCTGGGGTCTCCCGCCTATAGTGAGTGGGATGTGGGAAGCAAACCCGTGGGGAGTCAAAAGGCCCGGCCCTGCTCCCCCGGACTCCACCCCTAGGCCAGGGTGCCCGCCATTGCCTTGGCTGGTCTGGAGCTGGTACCGGGAGGTCTGGTAGTGTGCCTGCGCTCCTTGGAAAAGAAAAACAACAAACAAACAAACGAACAAACAAAACACCTTTTAAAGGCTTTTCTGTGTCATGAAATCAAATATACATTCTCGCAGCAAAATGTTTCCTACCCAGTTAGGTTTTAAAAAAAACCTTAAAAACAAAAAGTTCCAAATAAAATAAGGTGAGAGAAATAGTTCTTCCTGTGCAACAACAGAAAGAAAGTTGACCCTCCCTTCCTCACCCCTTTTGTACCTTTGCCCCCACCCTGCCCTGGCGTGTGTGTGGGTCTGACCTTTTAGCATAGACAAAGCAGAAGTGCAAAGGGGCTAGACCAATCCATGAGAATCAGAGGAAAA